TATCTGAACAAATCACAGCTGCATCTTCAGAAATGCCTTTAAAGACATCAGCACAATCCCTTCCTGCTACCACCACACCACACAGGCAGAAGAGCTTAAAGTATAGAAAAGGTGACGCCATCTGTCTTTGTCACAGGTGAGATTCAGTAATATTGAGCTCCTACATAAAGATCAAAATGTGAGTTTCTCCTTTCCTGCCCTCGCGGTGCCCTCCCCTGCCTCAGACACCAACAATTTCTGCTGCAGCAATGGCAATATGGGCCACACTGACTCACCTTCACAAAACCCAAGCAAAGCAGACCTGTGACTGCCCTTTGGAAAAAAAGCTGAACATCATTCTCACAAACAGATCTGGGAGCCACATGCATGCCCCAGAACCTCAGCTTAGAATCATGTGAGTTACTTAATTAAAACCACATGGATGGTACCATCCATACCAATAGACAGACGCTGTGGGTGGCTCAGGTGATGGTGTTCCTTCAAACCAGCCATGTGATCCTAATTGCAGGCCTTGGCAGAGAGCCACTTTGCTGAGCATTGCCTCTAGAGCAGGGTCCTCAAACTTTTAAACAGGGGCCAGTTCACTGTCCCTCAGACCGTTGGAGGGCGGACTATAGTCTAAAAAAACTATGAGCAAATTCCTACTGCACTGCACTTATTTTATTTTGAAGTAAAAAAACAATGAGCAAAAACACCGCATTGTGGCCTCGGACTGTAGTTAAGGACGCCTGCTCTAGAGCTTCAATGTGGATATAATTATTAGTGTTCCAGGCCCCAGTCTAGATGACGTGATCCTTCAGGTATGGAAGGGTCCATGGACTGTCTTCATTAACAAGTCCCCTGTTAATGCTGATGTTGCTTCCCCAGACCTCTCACCAGTTGCACTCAGCTAGAGACACCAGGCACAGCAGAGTCCCGTACACCTAACACTTTTTTTTTTTTGAGACAGAGTCTCGCTTTGTTGCTCAGGCTAGAGTGAGTGCCGTGGCATCAGCCTAGCTCACAGCAACCTCAAACTCCTGGCTCAAGCAATCCTGCTGCCTCAGGCTCCCAATAGCTGGGACTACAGGCATGCGCCACCATGCCTGGCTAATTTTTTTCTATATATATTAGTTGGCCAATTAATTTCTTTCTATTTATAGTAGAGACGGGTTCTTGCTCTTGCTCAGGCTGGTTTCAAACTCCTGACCTCGAGCCATCTGCCCACCTCGGCCTCCCAGAGTGCTAGGATTACAGGCGTGAGCTAACACTTTTATTACAACATAAATACTTCTGGTCCAAGTGAAGATCATCAATCATCTTCCTAAAACAACATTTTCTGCTAGCCCTTTAAAGCTTACAGAGGCTGGGGAAGGCAATTATATCTGAGGAAGCCTGCATTTGGAAAACAATATGTGCATGTGCATTAATGCAACATTTACTGAGCATACACTATGTGCTCACAAGTACACTACAATGCACTGTGCTGGGAACCTCACATTGTCTGTGTTAATTCTCATAATATCCTGGGAGTCAGGCACTAAGTGTCCCATAATTCCCAGCAGGATCTAGATGTTGGGTCCAGGTTTTCAATTTTTCTTCCATTTCTTTGTCCCTGACAAAATAAGAATTTACTGTGTTTCCCTGAATATAAGACCTACCATAAAATAAGCCCTAGCAGGATTTCTAAGCATTTGAGCAATATAAGCCCTACCCCGAAAATAAGCCCTAGAGATGGGCGTGGCTACGCAGCGTATTTGCACAACCCATGCACTTCGTGGCAGAGCAGTAAAGACGACGAGCAGCCCTTCTGATCTGCCCCATGAGAGCTCTATTGCTCGACATGAGAGATTGGGGCCAATGGTTCTAAAGGAAATAGAGTGGCAAGAAATTCAGGATGGAATTCAGGGTGTGGAGAGTTATGATGTTGTTCCAGAAGAAGACGACTTAACTATATTTGAATAAATGTAGATTGTTGCACCTTACTTAAAAAAAATAACACATCCTCTGAAAATAAGCCCTAGGGTGTCTTTTTGAGGAAAAATAAATATAAGACTCTGTCTTATTTTTGGGGAAACACGGTACAGAATAAAAGATATACATGGATGGGAGACATATGGAAAGGAAGGGTGGAGGAGTAATACAGAGTGCTATTTCATTGTTGCACTTATATTTACTAACCTGTATCTTGTAGAGCATCTACTGGATCTGAAAGAATGGAAACGAAGTTGCTGGGTGAAATGTCTCTAGAACAGAGGTTTCTTCTTCTTTTTTTTTTTTTTTTTTTGAGATAGTCTCACTCTGTTGCCTGGGCTAGAGTGCCATGGTGTCAGCCTGGCTCACAGCAACCTCAAACTCCTGGGCTCAAGTGATCTTCCTGCCTCAGCCTTCCAAGTAGCTGGGACTACAGGCATGTGCCACCATGCCGGGCCAATTTTTTATATACATATTTCTACTTGGCCAATTAATTTCTATTTTTAGTAGAGACAGGGTCTCGCTGTTGCTCAGGCTGGTTCCAAACTCCTGACCTTGAGGGATCTGCCCGCCTCGGCCTCCCAGAGTGCTAGGATTACAGGCGTGAGCCACCTCACTCAGCCGAAGCACAGGTTTTAATAAAAAATAAATCACCAAAATATACAGTACCTTGCAACCATTTATCTGCTTTTGCATTGTGAGAAATTATGACCACCAACTCTGGAGAGATGGCAGGAGCAGCCGCCCTGATCTCTATGCTGCTGGTTTATTTTTCTGTCTTTTCTAAGCTTGTCCAAGAGAAATTCTATTTCCAGAATTTATATGCTTTTAATCATTTCAAAGTACTTTCTTATCTATTTCACAACATAACAAGTCATTTAACATACTGCATCAGGGTTTTCTAGGACAATTATATTAGATACTAAATTTTTATTCTGAACAAAGTAAAAGCAATAGAAATGCCAACAATTCTTTCCATGAATGGTGACATCAGAATTCACAACAGGGAAGTGGTCCCTGTGAAGCTGAAGTCCCCTGTATTTCTCCCATTCTTTGTACTGACCACACATGATGCTGATTTCAACCATTTATCCATTTGTTTTTTACTGAAAGTTCCTAGACAGTAGCTACTGTGACTGCTTTACCACTGTTTCTGTTTTTTTTTTTCCCTAATGGTCATTTGAAATTCTGGAAACAGTTGGTTTATTTATCAGCTTGAATCTCTAAATTTCTTCCTTGTTCTTCACTCAATTCCCAGGAAATTGTAGCAACTCCCATCTGGGGACAAACCAAGATTTCTTCTGTGCGGGGAGAAACAAACCCTGGGTGACACATTCCTCTCCATCTGAAATGGAAAGAGGGTTAGAACCTGTTGTGAGCCTGACCCCAGTCTGTAAAGGACATCCCCAATGTCTCAAAGACTCCCAGGTGCTTGTGACAGGGTCCCTGGTGAGCCTGGGCTGAAGTCGCTGTGGTGATCCAGGCAAAAGAGACTCAGGCTGACTCTGTGAAGAGGGATAGAGAATGAACCTGCCCTGATGGAGCAAACATCGGTCCGGGTGTGATATCACCTGTCCTGATAAACTAACTCTGGAGTAAGAGGAAGGAGGAGAATACCCTTCCCTAGTAACACAGTGTCTAGGCAGGAAAAATTGTCATCAAGGATCTGGATATTTTGTGGTTCTGATCTTTGTATGTTAGTCAATCTTCTCCTTTATGTTGTATCAAGGTAGGTCTGGTGTCTCTGGCAGTGTTGGATTTGATTCTGTGATAATGGTTTTTACTTACAGGTTATACTCAGAGCACTGGGAGCCACTTACAGAACTAAAACAGGTCACAGAACAAGACCTGGAAAATTCCACAGGCTCCACCTTGAGAGACCTTCCAGGTTTACAAAGTCAACGTTGGTCTCTTATGCTTCAGAAAACGTTTCCCCTGAGGACATTTTTGTACATGCTCAGTATGAAGTCTGGCCCTGCCTTGTGAATTCCAGATGAAGGCCAGATCTTGTGTGTATATTCAAGGAGAAATTACACTTGATTTGTTTCTTGGGTTTTACAGTGAGGGCAGGGAAACTGAAGTCTATGCGGTCTGCTCTGGAGAATCCTGAGGAACCCCAGGCCTTGGATGTAGAACTGCAGATTTAGGGACCTAGAGAGGTAGGGAAGCAGCAGCACCCGTTGCACATTCCCTGGCATTTGGGCAGGAGGATGCAGCAGACCCTGAGATTCTCAGGCTGAACTGGTGTGTGCGTATCCATCTGCGTAGGCATCAGAGCCCCACGGTCTCGGAATCACTGAATCAATTTCAGGTATGAAGACGCCAGGAGCACTGAAAGACAGAGCTAGAACTGATGATTGTTACACCATGAGAGTATATTTGTTGGAATTTGGTCTAATTGTACTCTAGAAGGTACTGTACTCCATAAATAGGCAGACAGGCCAGAAAGCCTATGTATTTAAAAATTATAAAATGTGTATTCATAAAGTGGTAGGATGTGATTAACAGTTAAAACTGCTTATTCCAATCAGGTGCAGTGGCTCATGCCTCCAATCCTAAAGCTTTAGGAGGCCAAGGTAAGAGGGTCATTTGAGCCCAGGAGTTTGAGACCAGTCCGGGCAACACAGTAAGACTATATATCTACAAAAAATAATAAAACAAAATTATGTGGGCATAGTTGCACATGCCTATAGTCCTATTCAGGAGGCTAACTGAAGAGGATCACTCAAGCCTTGAGGTTGCAGTAAGCTAGGATAGTGCCACTGAACTCTACCTAGCCCAGGGGACAGACTGAGCTGCTGTCTCAATAAATTGCTTAGGTCTTGGCTATGAATTAAGGTTATTAAAAGTTAAAATTCTGACTAACATATGGTAACCAAAGCTAAAGATAAGAAGAAAAACAAGTCTACATCAAGAGTGTATAAAGAACATAAGATGTGCTTTTTGGTGAAAATGGTTATAAAAAAGAAACATGAGGATTTGTTTTTTTCTTAAAAAAGAAATTTTGCCTAATTTAGAGGTTATTTAAAGACTAAATTAAAACAATAAAACAAAGGAAAATGACATAAAAAGGATATGGAAAATTGAAGAAAGAAAAAGAATGGGAAAAATTGTAAAACATAAAAAAGGTTTATAGAAATCTTATCTCATGTAGTTAGAGCTGATTCAGATTAACTAGATCTACTTAAAAGGTTTTATTAAAATTAGCTTTGATAATAATACCATAATTCAAGTATAAAACTTTGTGTTCCCTATTTATTTATTTATTTATTTTTGAGACAGAGTCTCACTCTGTTGCCCGGGCATCAGCCTAGCTCACAGCAACCTCAAACTCCTGGGGGCTCAAGCAATCCTTCTGCCTCAGCCTCCCGAGTAGCTGGGACTAAAGGCATGCACCACCATGCCTAGCTAATTTTTTCTATATATTTTTAGTTGGCCAATTAATTTCTTTCTATTTTTATTTTTATTTTTTTTTTTTTGAGACAGAGTCTCGCTTTGTTGCCCAGGCTAGAGTGAGTGCCGTGGCGTCAGCCTAGCTCACAGCAACCTCAAACTCCTGGGCTCGAGCGATCCTTCTGTCTCAGCCTCCCGAGTAGCTGGGACTACAGGCATGCGCCACCATGCCCGGCTAATTTTTTATATATATATCAGTTGGCCAATTAGTTTCTTTCTATTTATAGTAGAGACGAGGTCTCGCTCTTGCTCAGGCTGGTTTTGAACTCCTGACGTTGAGCAATCCGCCCGCCTCGGCCTCCCAAGAGCTAGGATTACAGGCGTGAGCCACCGCGCCCGGCCTATTTCTTTCTATTTTTAGTAGAGACAGGTTCTCACTCTTGCTCAGGCTGGTTTCAAACTCATGACCTTGAGTGATCTTCCTGCCTCCTCCCAGAGTGCTAGGATTACTGGTGTGAGCCACCACGCCTGGCCTGGTGTTCCCTTTTAAACAAGATTTTCATTAAGTGTTAATACAAGATAATAAAAGACTTTTGAGGCTGGGCGCGGTGGCTCACGCCTGTAATCCTAGCACTCTGGGAGGCCGAGGCGGGCGGATTGCTCGAGGTCAGGAGTTCAAAACCAGCCTGAGCAAGACCCCGTCTCTACCAAAATATAGAAAGAAATTAATTGACTAACTAAAAATATATATACAAAAAAAATTAGCCGGGCATGGTGGCGCATGCCTGTAGTCCCAGCTACTAGGGAGGCTGAGGCAGTAGGATCGCTGAGCCCAGGAGATTGAGGTTGCTGTGAGCCAGGCTGACGCCACGGCACTCACTCTAGCCTGGGCAAGAAAGTGAGACTCTGTCTCAAAAAAAAAAAAAAAAAAAAAAGACTTTTGTTCACCTTTTGAGTAAACTATGGGGAAAAAATGACCAAATTTCTTCATGAAAAGCTTCTTTACCATGACCATTTTAACTCTTGTTCTATTTCTTCTTGGAGACTTCCTTCTCATCTTCATAGAGATTGAGAAACCATTGGTAAAATAATCTGTTTGTAAAATGTATCCAATTTTTTTAGCATTTCCATTTAGCATTCCATTCCATTTAGCAAAATCCAATTTTTTTAGCTTTTACCAGTCTTCTAGACTGGTAAAATATACAAATTGGGTAATAAAAAGTCAACTGGCAAAGTTTACAGAAGTCTTTAACCTTCCCTGGCCTAAGATTCATCTCTTGCTATTATTTAACATATGTTTTACTCTGTTTGGAAAACATTAGCTTTCTTTCTTTAAAATAATAAAAGAAAGCCCCATGCACATAAATGAAGTAGCCTACAACCACCTCTCTTTGAAGGTGATATTCTTCATCATCACCAAGGTCTTAAAAAAGTTTCTCACAGAACAATTTAAATTAAAGTTTCTTCTAACAGTGAGCTACAAGAAGATGAAAACATTAAAGATGATGGCCTCCAATCTGAAACTTCACTTACTGGGAACACCATCAAATAAAAGATTCCCTCCAACACCATTGAAAGGAATCATATCAGGTATTGTTGACCAATCCCTGTGCTACTAAATTTTAAGGCAATGTCTCTTAGTATATTTGGTCACTCTTTTACCTACAGACAGCTCTGAGGAAAGCCAACACTGTACTTCTTCCCTCTAACTTTTTTCTGTATACATGAGAACCAATCTATTTTAGATGGAGATCCTATTGAGAAAAAAATGCTAATTTATCTGCCTGGCCATGACACAGCTCCATAAATTTCATTGAAAGCACACCTTTGCCTTGGTGGGT